CGCCGGGGCCGCCCCGCACAGCCGGGCTGGGGCTGCCCACACCTGAGGGGAACCCGCCATGGCAGCGCCGGGGCCGCCCCGCACAGCCGGGCTGGGGCTGCCCACACCTGAGGGGAACCCGCCATGGCAGCGCCGGGGCCGCCCCGCACAGCCGGGCTGGGGCTGCCCACACCTGAGGGGAACCCGCCATGGCAGCGCCGGGGCCGCCCCGCACAGCCGGGCTGGGGCTGCCCACACCTGAGGGGAACCCGCCATGGCAGCGCCGGGGCCGCCCCGCACAGCCGGGCTGGGGCTGCCCACACCTGAGGGAACCCGCCATGGCAGCGCCGGGGCCGCCCCGCACAGCCGGGCTGGGGCTGCCCACACCTGAGGGGAACCCGCCATGGCAGCGCCGGGGCCGCCCGCACAGCCGGGCTGGGGCTGCCCACACCTGAGGGGAACCCGCCATGGCAGCGCCGGGGCCGCCCCGCACAGCCGGGCTGGGGCTGCCCACACCTGAGGGGAGCCCGCCATGGCAGCGCCGGGGCCGCCCCGCACAGCCGGGCTGGGGCTGCCCACACCTGAGGGGAACCCGCCATGGCAGCGCCGGGGCCGCCCCGCACAGCCGGGCTGGGGCTGCCCACACCTGAGGGGAACCCGCCATGGCAGCGCCGGGGCCGCCCCGCACAGCCGGGCTGGGGCTGCCCACACCTGAGGGGAACCCGCCATGGCAGCGCCGGGGCCGCCCCGCACAGCCGGGCTGGGGCTGCCCACACCTGAGGGGAACCCGCCATGGCAGCGCCGGGGCCGCCCCGCACAGCCGGGCTGGGGCTGCCCACACCTGAGGGGAACCCGCCATGGCAGCGCCGGGGCCGCCCCGCACAGCCGGGCTGGGGCTGCCCACACCTGAGGGGAACCCGCCATGGCAGCGCCGGGGCCGCCCCGCACAGCCGGGCTGGGGCTGCCCACACCTGAGGGGAACCCGCCATGGCAGCGCCGGGGCCGCCCCGCACAGCCGGGCTGGGGCTGCCCACACCTGAGGGAACCCGCCATGGCAGCGCCGGGGCCGCCCCGCACAGCCGGGCTGGGGCTGCCCACACCTGAGGGAACCCGCCATGGCAGCGCCGGGGCCGCCCCGCACAGCCGGGCTGGGGCTGCCCACACCTGAGGGAACCCGCCATGGCAGCGCCGGGGCCGCCCCGCACAGCCGGGCTGGGGCTGCCCACACCTGAGGGAACCCGCCATGGCAGCGCCGGGGCCGCCCCGCACAGCCGGGCTGGGGCTGCCCACACCTGAGGGAACCCGCCATGGCAGCGCCAGGGGCCGCCCCGCTGGCCGGGCTGGGGCTGCCCACACCTGAGGGAGCCCGCCATGGCAGCGCCGGGGCCGCCCCGCACAGCCGGGCTGGGGCTGCCCACACCTGAGGGAACCCGCCATGGCAGCGCCGGGGCCGCCCCGCACAGCCGGGCTGGGGCTGCCCACACCTGAGGGGAACCCGCCATGGCAGCGCCGGGGCCGCCCCGCACAGCCGGGCTGGGGCTGCCCACACCTGAGAGGAACCCGCCATGGCAGCGCCGGGCCGCCCCGCACAGCCGGGCTGGGGCTGCCCACACCTGAGGGAACCTGCCATGGCAGCGCCGGGGCCGCCCCGCACAGCCGGGCTGGGGCTGCCCACACCTGAGGGAACCCGCCATGGCAGCGCCGGGGCCGCCCCGCACAGCCGGGCTGGGGCTGCCCACACCTGAGGGAACCCGCCATGGCAGCGCCGGGGCCGCCCCGCACAGCCGGGCTGGGGCTGCCCACACCTGAGGGAACCCGCCATGGCAGCGCCGGGGCCGCCCCCGCACAGCCGGGCTGGGGCTGCCCACACCTGAGGGAGCCCGCCATGGCAGCGCCAGGGCCGCCCGCCGGCCGGGCTGGGGCTGCCCACACCTGAGAGAACCCGCCGCGGCAGCGCCGGGGCCGCCCCGCAGCAGCCGGGCTGGGGCTGCCCACACCTGAGGGAACCCGCCATGGCAGCGCCGGGGCCGCCCCGCACAGCCGGGCTGGGGCTGCCCACACCTGAGGGGAGCCCGCCATGGCAGCGCCGGGGCCGCCCCGCACAGCCGGGCTGGGGCTGCCCACACCTGAGGGGAACCCGCCATGGCAGCGCCGGGGCCGCCCCGCACAGCCGGGCTGGGGCTGCCCACACCTGAGGGGAACCCGCCATGGCAGCGCCGGGGCCGCCCCGCACAGCCGGGCTGGGGCTGCCCACACCTGAGGGGAACCCGCCATGGCAGCGCCGGGGCCGCCCCGCACAGCCGGGCTGGGGCTGCCCACACCTGAGGGAACCCGCCATGGCAGCGCCGGGGCCGCCCCGCACAGCCGGGCTGGGGCTGCCCACACCTGAGGGAACCCGCCATGGCAGCGCCGGGGCCGCCCCGCACAGCCGGGCTGGGGCTGCCCACACCTGAGGGGAACCCGCCATGGCAGCGCCGGGGCCGCCCCGCACAGCCGGGCTGGGGCTGCCCACACCTGAGGGGAACCCGCTCCTGCCCCGGGGCCGCCGACAGCAGGGACACGACGGGGCTGCCGAAACACCGGCACTGCTTCCCTGGCTTCAGTACACCCAGGCGGTGGCAGAGCTGCATTGCAAAACGTTCCAAACATCTCATTTGCAACACCAAAGGGAAACCATAGAATTGGAGGGAAAGAAAAGCTGTGCCAAAAGGCAAAGGGCAAGAAAGGGAAACCTGAACAAAGATACTAACCCTTGCTCTTTGCAATAGCCTCCAATGTGTCAGGTGAAACATTAGGATGAAACAATCCACTAAACACTACGACATCGAATGTGCCACTTGCATAATTTTGCAAATACACAAAAACATTTTCAAAAGCAGTCCACTACATTTATTGAAGGGATTTGATAAAGGGATTTGATATGTCGCTGTCAGAACCAGTTTCACGTGTGGCGTGTCCTCGATGCTTCCTGCCTGGGGGTGCAGCTCCCAGCACTTGGGGCTGCCACACAGCTCCTGTCACGGCAACTTCTCGCTTGGCTGATTGGTGCTGGGTCTGACGGTGTCCAGCGCTGGAGAACTGGGAGACCTCCCCGATGGCACCTGGTTACCAGTGCTGGGGCTGACAGTCTCAGGTTCATGGGAAGGCTGCAATCCCAAGTGCCTGGAAAGCTTGGGATCGTCAAGCTCGGCCTCAACACGGGAGGCTGTAAGGGGAAGCAGGAAGGTCAAGGCCAGGTCAAGGCCACCCGAGGCCCTAGGCAGGATAGGCCAGGGCAGTGCCCCCACTCCTCCTGGAGCAGACAGGCTCTGCCAAGCCCAGCCTGGGCACCCGCTGCCAGGCCCAGGGTCACCAGGGTGCTTTGCCTCTTACCTGTGCCCAAGGCAGCACAATTCTCACATTCCCATCTGGCTGTACTGTCCCTCAAGCCAGAGCAGTGTCTGGGGGTGCCCTCGGCAGCACAGGAGGAGCACAGGAGCAGTTCCCAGGGCCTGGGGAAGCAAACGGGTTCATGGAGCTGAGGACAAAGTGTCCAGAGCATGGGATTATCTGGCCAAGCTCTTCTCCTGGGTCCTCCAGCCTTGAGCCCTGCAGAGCCCCGGGATGCGGCTTTGGCAACTTACCCCTCTTCCTCGGCCTCCTCTCTGCCTCCTGGAAAAAGGCACTTGCTGGCATCACAATGCCTGTGCCTCTCTCCAGCTCAGCGAATGCACTGTTGCCCTCCCATGATGGTGGTCTGATGGAAAAAGGAAACCTGATGAGCTCCCTCTGCCCCGGCATCGGGCAGGTGCAGGGTGTCCCTGCTCTTCCCCCTGTGCCATTTCCAGCTCCTGCGTGAAGCTGAACCCGGGATTCACAGAACAGTGCAGGGATATGACTGCTGGGGCTGGGGTTCTCTTGCTTGGGGTCTGGGCTAAGCTCCAGCAAACCTCGCCTGGCTGTGAACTCTTCCTGCTCGTGTCAGGCTCTCACCTCCTGTGCTGCCTGGCAGGCTACATCAAGGATATCCCTTCGGGGTATAGACCAGAGTCCTCCTCGATCAATGGGGTGGTGAGAAAGGTGGCTGGCAAAAAACTGCAGGGAAAATGACATGCACTGATGAGGAGAGAGTGGCAGGGAGTGCCTGTCAAAAAACTGAGGGAGCGCGTGAAACAACTCACCAGTCAGAACTCGTGGGCACAGAGTCAACTTTTCTGGAGTTTTTCTTCGCAGAAGTCCAGGTCAGCCTCTGATTGTCCACACAGCAGGCACGCTGGAGGGGAGAGAGACAATGGCCCCAGGCTTGGCACCTCTGCTGCCCGCCCTGACAGCCCCTCTGCCAGGCTGCAGGAGGGGCACTTTGCTCTCACCTGGCTCCCTCACTTCAGGGGCCTCCTCCTCCCTGTCTGACATGGGACGTGTCAGCGGTGGGTCCCTGTCTCACCGTCCCACCATGAGTGCACCTGCCAGCACTGGGTGCTCGAACACAGCTCCTGTCACGACGACTCGTGGATCTGCTGTACGAATCTGGGCTGTGATGCTGCTCTTGGGAGTGGTTTTGCCTGCAGTCAGGCTGTTTCTGGGAAGCTGCTGTGGGATGACCCCAATGTTACCTGACTGTCAGGGTGGGGCTGTTTTTCTCCTGTGAGGGAGATTGCAGAGACTGCTCCAATGTTGCCTGTTGGTTGATGTGGTGGTTGTTGGTACTGGGGTGATGGTCTCGTGTTCTGTGGAGTGGTCAGAAGAGTCCTTCATGAGGGCAACAAGCTCTGAGTCTGCAGTGGAGGCTGAAAGAGGAAGCAGTAAGTTGAAGGCCACCTGAGGCCCTAGGCAGGATAGGCCAGAGCAGAGCCCCCAGCCCTCCTGGAGCAGACAGGCTCTGCCAAGCCCAGCCTTGACATCCGTTGCCAGGCTTAGGACAGCCATCATATTCTCATCTGGTTATGCTGCCTCTCAGGCCACAGCAGTGTCTGCGGGTGCCCTCGGCAGCACAGGAGGAGCACAGGAGCAGTTCCCAGGGCCTGGGACGCAGCTTTGGCAACTTACCCCTCCTCCTTGGCCTCCTCTCTACCTCCTGGAAAAAGGCGCTTGCTGGCATCACAATGCCTGTGCCTCTCTCCAGCTCAGCGAATGCACTGTTGCCCTCCCATGATGGTGGTCTGATGGAAAAAGGAAACCTGATGAGCTCCTTCTGCCCCGGCATCGGGCAGGTGCAGGGTGTCCCTGCTCTTCCCCCTGTGCCATTTCCAGCTCCTGCGTGAAGCTGAACCCGGGACTCACAGGACAGTGCAGGGCCAGGACTGCTGGGGCAGACCCTGCCACAGCACAGCACTTGCACCCCCTGTGTTGTGAGCCGGGAGAAGGACACCAACCTGAAGGGGATTGGGATCCCCGTCGTGAACATGTCCTTGATAAATGTCTGATAAATGCAGAGGGGGCACTGGAGGGATGAAACACCAGAGCGCAGAGCCTGTCCCTGCAGGAGAAACACGAGCAGTGAAGAGTGAGGCCCTGGTGCTGCTGAGACACTGCTGAACCCCCCGGAGGAGTCCTCCTTGTCCCAGAGCTGGTTCGAAGGGCTGGGCTTTCTTGCTTGGGGTCTCGGCAAAGCTCCAGCAAACCTCGCCTGGCACGAATCTGCCTGCCATTGTCAGGCTCTCACCTTCTGTGCCGCCCGGGAGACTACATCTAGGATATTCCTTGGCAGAAAGCCCGTGAGTCTTACTTGACCCAGGGGGTGCTGAGGAAATGGTTGGCAAAACCTGCAGGAAAATGACACACACTGATGAGGAGAGAGTGGCAGGGATTGCCTATCAGAATACAGAGGAAGCACACGGAGAACCTCACCAGGCAGAACTCGTGGGCACAAAGTTTCCTCTTCGCAGATGTCCGGGTCAGTGTCTGATCGCTGGCACAACAGGCATGCTGCAGGGGAGAGAGACAATGGCCCCGGGCATGGCACCTCTGCTGCCCGCCCTGAAAACCCTTTTCCAGGCTGTGGGAGGGGCACTTTGCTCTCACCTCTCTCCCTCACTTTGGGGGCCTCCTCCTCCCTGTCTGACGTAGAACGTTTCAGTGGTGGGTCCCTGTCTCACCGTCTGAGCGGTGAGTGGGGCTCCCAGCACTGGGTGTTCTAACGCGGCTCGTGTCACGGCGACTTCTGGATCCTCTGGATGAATTTGAGGTCCGACGCTGCTGGCGGGAGTGGTGTTGCCTTTGGGAAGTGCTGGCTGCTGTCTCCCTCGAGTTTCTCCTCCCAGCACTCGGTGCTGGAGTGCAGTTCCTGTCACGGGGACTTCTGGACCGGACGGATGGATCTGAGGTCCGACTTTGCCGGCGGGAGCGGTTTCGCCGGCGGGATGTCCCCGATGCTTCCTGGCTTGGGGTGCAGCTCCCAGCGCTTGGTGCTGGGACATGGCTGCTGTCACGGCGACTTCTGGGCCGAAGCTGTGGATTTTGTGGGCGACGTTGCTGGCGGGAGCTGTTTCGCCTGTGGGATGTCCCTGATGCTTCCTGGGTGGAGGTGCAGCTCTCAGCAGTTGGTGCTCTCGCACGGCTCCTGTGACGTCGACTTCTGGACCGAAGGTGTGGATTTTGGGGCCGACGTTGCTGGCGAGAGCGGTTTCGGCTTTGAGATGTCTCTGAGGCCTCCTCGCTGCGGCTGCGCCTCCGAGGACTTGGTGGTGGCGGTAAACAGATCCTTTCCTGAGGACTCGGGGACCGAAGGTGTGGATTTATGGGACGACTTGGCCGGCGGGAGCGGTTTCGCCTGCGCGATGTCCCTGATTGTCTCTGCCTGGACCTGCAGCTGGCAGTAGTTGATTCCGGCACATGGGTCCTGTCATGGGAACTTCTGGACCGAAGGTGTGGATTTTGGGGCCGACGTTGCCGGCGGGAGTGTTTTCGCCGGCGGTCAGGCCCGCGACTGCGAGAGCAGCTGCTGTCTTCAGTGTCTGGGATGTTGCTGTGTGATGGCCTCGATGTGGCCTGACTAGAAGGCCTGGGTCTGCTTGTCTCCTGGGAGACAGATTCCCGAGACTGCTCTGAGGCTGTCTGTTGGCTGGTGCTGGGCATGACGCTCTCATCTTCTGTGGACACACCAGGAGACTCCTTCATGAGTTCAGCAAGCAAGGGGTCTTCACTGGAGGCTGTAAGGGGAAGCAGCAAGGTCAAGACCGCCCCAGGCCCAGGGCAGGATAGACCAGAGCAGTGCCTGCAGCCCTCCTGGAGGTGACAGGCTCTGCCAAGACCACCCTGAGCTCCCATGGCCAGGCCCAGGGGAACCGGACCCAGTGGCATTCGGGTGCTTTGCTTCTTACATGTAAACAGCTCAGCACAGGTGTT